CAAAAAAATATACGTATTTTGGAAATGTTGAGTCGAATTAGTCTAGAATCGATTAATTTTATGAAAGAAAACCTTTCAAACAGCCGTAGTCCGTAAACTATGATTCCTACAAAATTGATTCATAAAGAACGGAACGTATCTACCGTCTTATAGGGGGATCTACTGTACTTTTCGGTTATCCGACTTTTCAATTATCCGACCAATCCCAGTACCCAATTGAGTCGGATAATCGATGCTCTACTGTAATTCGCTTTTGTGAAGCGTGCTATCAGACTGGCTGACCAACCTTGTTAAATCGACAGATCAGTTACAAAAAAAGTAATTTGTACTTTGTTAGAACGAAAACGACGATGAATGGGTTTACTGCGAAACCTTTCGTTTCTTACAGGTGACGTACAGTACTTCCGTTTGATTTTGGTCACAAAGCAAGATATAAAGAGAAGTTCTCATTTTTAACTGTGTGGGTACCCCATAATTCTTTGCGTCTATCAACATGGAGACTGATTAATAAACCAATTTTCAAGACTTTTACGACTCGAGTTTGTTTTCATAACTCAACTTTTGATTTCAGGTACCAAAAACCACATACGCATTTACATACACAAATTCACATTTTGTTTAGAACTATGAATACTTATGAGAAGAGAATAATAGAAATCAGAAGAGACTACACAGTTTGACAGAAGAAAACATTAATAGACTTCTTGTCTGTGCTTGGTTGTATTCAAACAGTTGTTTATAATATTGCATACTACCTTAATTTAACAAAGAGATCGCTGAAGAAAATTTTGTAATTTTATTTTTCTGCATTTGTTTTTATTATTATTATTATTTGTTCCGAGAATAAATACGAAAACGCCATCTTTTCTATCCGATTTCGTATCCGAAACTCCACCTTCATCGATCCGAAAAATACGGGGTTTACTTATAAACGTTATAAGAACTGTGAGATATGAATTTTCAGATAAGATATTTTAACTGTTGGTACCATTAAAAGTGAAAAAACATGCACGATGATATATATTTACCAAAATAAAATTGTATTTAATACAGGATCGAACTATCAGATTTCCTAGAAATTGAATTTCCTAGAAATTGAATTTTCATACTTAAAAATGTTTCAAAGATATAAAATGTATGAAGGAAATCTCATTTGGGTTTTTTTTTTGTTTTGCTTAAAAATACCAAAGGTCAAACAAAGTATACGTACTAGTAGATGTCTGATGACAAACTACACGATGTCAAAAATTAGCTGCTAAAGTTAAAAACCACTGCGATGGATTGAAAGTAACCACAAGTTCTGGACCGCCTGATTAGCACCATGTCAGAATGACACCACTCTGTCAAGTGACAAAAATCGCGATAGTGGTCGCTTGTTTAGGCGGTCGGATCCGGGACGACAGAGACGATGAAATAATGTTATAGAATTTTATTGTTGTTTGAGAGTAATTAAATGCGCATGATTTAAACACAAGAATAATTGGGAATACCGAGATAAAATTACATTTTATTCCTGTTTTCTCAATGACTTTTGGCTGATATCAGATATTTTCTCTGTCACATTCATATCGCTCTTCATATTTTCGAATGTCTAATAAAAAGTGCTTTTTATATTATATTTTACGCATTTCGGAG